CTCAGGGGCAATCCCAAGTAAAGGAGACCAGGAAGGAGTCAGCGGTGCAGGAGAAGTAAGATTAGTGGAGTGAGGTGTCCCCATCCTCATGCTGAAGTGGGAGGAAAGGGCACAGGGCACAACCACTGAAGGAAGGACACAGCTACTGAGGACAGGACAAGCTGGTTAGAACCAAGACGGTGGAAGATTTGACTTCCAGTGGACCCTGAGCCTCATGGCGCACCCACAGTCACCATGTCAGATCCCAGGCTGACCATTAAAGGTCAAAAAGTGTGCGGGGGGGCATTTCCTGGAAATCGTCACCCCTTCCCCAAAGTAGCTTAAGTAATCCTCCTACTCATTAGCATATGAAATTACTGAGCCCACAAACCCAACAGCTCTGCACCTGGTGGTCGCTCTCTCTCTTGCCTTCTGAGACAGCCCGCACTCTGTCTACGGACTGTGTATCTACCGTTACTTTAAACTAAACACCCCACAGCCCTCAGTCTCTCTCCCTCTCACTTTTCTGAGATGCCCACATTCTGCTGATGGAGTGTGTATCTCCTAAGCCATTTTCCCTTCCGAGTGAGAGGGACTCCACTCTGTCTATGGAGTGTGCATCTCTCTAAACAAATGTGCTTTCACTTTACCATGCCTTGCTCCTGAATCGTTTCCTGTGCAAGGCGAGAACCTGTTCTCCCTCGACAATGTGTTTTTGAGAAACACACAGACAAAACCCGGTGGTCCTCAGCCTCGAAGCCCTTACGGCTTTTGTGGGCACCACCAAAGGTGATGGGCTGAAGGGAGAAGCCCACTGGCTCCTGGGGAAGAGTCTGAATTTGAAAAGTAAGTAATGACACAGTAGATGTATCACAGAGCACACAATCTAGAGATGAGGCCAAGAAAGAGTGCTGTTAAAAAAAGACAAAAGTTCCCAGAAATAGTTACAACTGCACCACAGAATTTACCTGGGCTTCCTCAGCCTCCTCAGTAAGGCAGGCGCTGTCGTTCCTCACAGGGACGGCACCAGGTCCTGAATCTGATAAAGGCAGAGCAGAGTTGAAGGTTTACCCTCTCTGACGGAGACTGTATGGAGGAAGCACGAGGCCTTCATACCTTCCTCCAGGAGCTCACGCTCCCACCCATGCCCCGGTCTCTTCGCAGAGGCCGCAGGTCTCCCTCATGTCTCACGTGACCCCGAGGACGAGGGGACACTGGACCCCTGACTCTTGACGAGGACACCACAGAGCCCTGGTTCAGGTGTTTCCATAACTAACCAACCTGGATGGGAGCTCAGGGCTCAAATCTCTGGAAATCAGCACTAAAACAGGGGACTCACGATACACTTCAGGGAAAATCACAATTTCTACAAAGGTTGAAAATTAAAAGAAGAGTCTTTCGTAGGAAGAGTATCAGCAACCCCTGAACATGAGCTCTCCCTCTCTCCCTCCTTAGCCCACTGGTAAATTTTTTAAATCTTTCAGTCTGATGCAATGTCTTATACAAGTGACCAGGTGTTATGCAAGTACTTATGAAAGAAGTGGCCTTAGAAAGACTAATATTGTAATAATGGGTGAAAGAATGGTGAAATATATGGACAATTCTTTGGAAGATTTTAGAGTTAGACTTATAACTCTGGAAGAGTGATATTATGTGGTAATTTAACTTACTAATTGGCTACTCTAGATCACTATGCAACATTTTTTTATAAGGATGAAGGGACCTGCAAAATTAGGACAGAATTGCCTGCTGTCTTAAAGCAGATCTTGGATAGAATATTTATCCATCAAGACAAATGAAGAAAAACTTTTTCTCATCAGGACATACTGCCTTCATTCTAAAATGCTGTGCACGTTATTTTTCTCAAATAAAAGGAGAATTCAGCCTTCAACATTGTCTCCAGGTTGGAAGAGGGTGTTGACACTCATTTCCTCTAGTGCATAGAAACCAACCAAACCAACCTACCAAGAGGCTGCAGGGCGGCCCACAGTCCCTGGAGGGGCATGAGCTCCACTGTGCACAGGAAACAGAGCCCTGCTGGCTGGTGGCATGTGAAGAAAACAGCATCTTGTCAACCAGCTGAGAACCTGTTCTCTGCGGCGAGTGTATGGCATGGTGTCCAGGAAACCTAACAACTGCCCATTCGGCAGCTTTTGCAGCAGAAATGAAGCAGCTGCTTGTCACAGTGTGCTCCTTACCTCTCAGTGGAGGATGCAACCTGTATGGTCCTCTTGAGATGGGTCGCTGCCTCGTATATTCCTCTGCCTGCCTCTGTCTGCAGATTTCTTCCAATCTTGAAGATGAGAGAAAGAACGGTTTCAGTAAGAGTTACATTATCAATTCCTCTACTAAACACAAAACAGCTTATCCTTAAAAATCTCAAAACACCCTTAAAAATGTATGTCAAAATTCTGTACCTTTGTTTCAAGTAGGCAACCTCCCATCTCATCTCTCTCGTTGCCCTCCCCTGGTCCAGAGCCCAGAGCTGCGGGGGGGGGGAAGCACATCCACATTCAGTTGTGGCCGACTATGCACAAAGGTAAGGAAGGACACACATCCTTACCCAGTTGTCTTGAGCCACCTCCTCAAGAAGAGCGATCTGAAAAGTCAACACATCAAGAAACACCCCATGGTTAGGGATTCTCAGGGCCACAATAATTGTCTGCATCAGGTGCTAAGAACTCAGTGTGTCAGGAAAAAGGCAAGTTACCCGGTATTTGAAGCTGTCCTCTGTTTCCTGCATTTCCTGTTGCAATTCTTCAACTCTTCTCCTATTAGTTACAAATTGTTTCATCAGATAAAACACAATGCTGGGTATGATTTTAAATAACCTGCCCAAGTCCACATTATCTGAACTACACATTTATACGCATTATCTAACCGTATAAAATACATTTCATATTATTATAAAAGTACAGGAGGTTCAAAGCTATTGCTGCATTAATTCCTTCCTTAATTATTACTTAATGCCTGCCAAGTTCTGCATTGACATAATTTGCTTTCCCATTCTCAACATTTTCCTAATTTATCCTGTATGGAGTATCTTTCATCATAAAGCTTGATTCTTCTTTTCCTTATATCCTTATCCTGTTTCTCAGGCTTACAACAAGTGGGTCTCTCCAACGGCATGGTCATATTTATTGATGTGATTGATGCTACACCAAACCGCCTTCCTAAGGTTGGTAACAATTTATAGCATCTACAGAAACATCCTTGTGAACCATCCTTCCACATAGTCCGGCCAGCACAGGGGACCAGGAAATTCTTAGCAACTTAATAGTTTTAAAGTTAAACCTTTAACTTAACATGTGTAAAACATAACATTTCCCTTCCTATGTGAAGTATCTATACAAATGTCTTCTGAACATTGGTCTTGGTCTCTGTGATATTCTGTCTAAACATTTTAGAAAAGTTAAAAAAATAATCCAACAGGTGTTTTCTAAGCCACAGGTGTTGAGGGGCAGAACTCACTTGTACATTTGTATCTCTTCTTCAGCCAATTTCAACTTCTGCTCTACTGCTAATAGGTGCTTCTTTTCCACCAGCTCACATCCTTTCATGTCCAGCTTCCTGAGAGGGGAAAGAAACCCTGTGAAATTCTGCCATTTTTTTCTCCCAGAAATCTGAAGGGAAGAATTCGATGTTCTTTCTGCCCTTCCCCATAAACACATACACTGACAAATACAAAGGAAAAACTTAAAGGCCCCACTAATAGATACGACAAAACTAAACTCAGGCCTCTGGCAAGTGTTTGGTATCTGAGCTTCCCTTCAGTCTCCATCCCTATTCATTTGTAGATAAAGTAAACACACATGAAAAGTCCACATGAAATGCACACTGTGCCCTCCCAGGCTCAGGCTCCTGTGATGGGGACAGCGTGAGCTCACTGTGTTTCAGTGTGGAAAACAGGGCCTGCTCAAGTCATCACAGCCAAACACATCAGGATGAAGCAGGCGTTTGTGATTTTTTTGATTTCTCCTGGAGAGCCCTGATTTTCAGTCAAAGCCTTGGCAAAACCTGATTCTTCAGGGAACATAAGAAAATGTTTGCTTTTTAATGTGGGTTGATGGGTGTGATGTCCTTGACCTCCCCCGAGAATGACAGGAAACGCTGGACAAATTATAAAATCCATAATCAAAGGTACCAAATTGCTAACAAGCCAGGAAGGAACGTGAGGCCAAGATGGAGAAGAAGGAAGCCCAGGACTGAGGTCAGCCTGGCATTTAGGGCCACTTTCCCCAAGGGTCCTCCATTAGCTGCAGAGGAAAGTACTGAGATGCAGAGCAGCCCAGCAGCTGATGCCCCCGCCCCCCATGCACGGGCACCACAATCACGGTCCTTCAGCAAAGGTGATCCCTAGAAACGCCCACAGGCCTCAGCTGGGACCCATGAGAGTTAAGTGCCAGGAATAAAGGTGGACAGGAGACACACTGGCCTCAGGAGGGCTGAGCCTACACTGAGTGATCTCCATTGCTAACTGGGTTCACAGGATGCAGCACTGCTGGCGCTCTGATCACCTGCCAGCAGTAAACCCTCATCTTCTCTGCAGCAAGTTAACCTCACACTAGGCGCCAAATTCTCTCTATTTTCTACTCAATGTCTAGAGTTTAATAAAAAAAATGATAGATGCATGGCAGGTTGTTACAACATGATGGGACTGAAACCTGAGGGCAATGAAAATGGACCCAGTGGA